GGCCTCCCGAGTGGCTGGGACCACAGGCATGCGCCACCATGCCCGGCTAATTTTTTCTATATATTTTTAGTTGTCCAGCCAATTTCTTTTTATTTTTTTAGTAGAGACGGGGTCTCGCTCCTGCTCAGGCTGGTCTCGAACTCCTGACCTCGAGCGATCCTCCCGCCTCGGCCTCCAGAGTGCTGGGATTACAGGCATGCGCCACCATGCCCGGCTAATTTTTTCTGTATATTTTTAGTTGTCTGGCTAATTTCTTTCTATTTTTAGTAGAGACGGGGTCTCGCTCCTGCTCAGGCTGGTCTCGAACTCCTGACCTTGAGCGATCCTCCTGCCTCGGCCTCCAGAATGCCAGGATCACAGGCGTGAGCCACCGCGCCCGGCCACATTTTCGTTTCCCGAACACCTTTTTAGACTGTAAGAAACTGCGAGTTGACTTTCCCATCAAAGGCGGTGGGCAGTAGAAAACTACTCATTCTTGTACGATCGCAGGGTGCTTCTTTTTTCCGGCAGCCTCCTCCCCGTTAGCTCTGGTTAGCTCTGAAGTTTGGAGAAATCTCATTAAGCCCCTGGACCCCACATGGCCCCCAGGCCTGGGAAAGCCCCTCAGTAAGTGAAGCCTTGCTGCTCCTCGCCTTAACGCAAGCTCAGAAAGCTGGAATTGGAGGCCCAAAGCCGCCCCCTGCGGTAGCCACGAGTCACACGTGGCCACCGAGCGCTTGCAATGTGGCGGGTCCGAGTTGCGACGGGCTCTGAGTGAAAAGCTAACGCCGCCTTTCAGAGATTCAGTGTGAACAGTGCATGTGACATCCCCACTCACGGTTGCTTATTGTGATGCCACGTTGAAATGGTTCTATTTTGTACACGCTGGGTGAAATCAGCAGATTATTAGAATTAACTTTACCTTTAAAGACGTTTTTAGTGGGGCTTCTAGGATGCTTGAAACTACACGTGTAGCTCACATTATTATTTCTAGCAGACCTCGCCAGTCTAGAGGGTAGTATCTCCACCATGAGAAGCTTCCGGCTGGGCAAGGCAGCCCACGCCTGTGATCCCAGCACTCCGGGAGGCCGAGGCGGGAGGATCGCTCGAGGTCAGGAGTTCGAGACCAGCCTGAGCAAGAGCGAGACCCCGTCTCTACTAAAAACAGAAAGAAATTAGCTGGACAACTAAAAATATGTAGAAAAAACTAGCCAGGCATGGTGGCGCATGCCTGTGGTCCCAGCCACTCGGGAGGCCGAGGCAGGAGGATCGCTGGAGCCCAGGAGTTGGAGGTTGCTGTGAGCGAGGCTGACGCCACGGCACTCTAGCCCGGGCGACACAGTGAGACTCTGTCTCAAAAAAGAAAAAAGAAGCTCACCAAGGCTGAGTTTGACAGCATGATAGAACGCTGAAAAGTTATTTAAAACGACGCGATGACTCAAAGAGCCTCACTGCCTCGGGGACACTTACCGTAGCGACACACAAACCGATACATTGAGGCAGCTTCTGGAAACAGTGTTCTAGATGACAGGAGCCGCTCAAGACTGAGTCGCCAAGAAAGCGTCATCGCCGTGACGTTTTCCGCGTGAGACGGCAGGGCTGTGAGCTCTGTACTCCAGCATTCTGACGAGATCAAACAGAAACAAACGAGTGGCTGTCGCGATTTCCTGTGGGCCGTGGGAGTTCCAGTCGGCCGGGCAAGCTCCGCGGGGTGTCTCTGCGTGAAATTTGAGGCTTAGACGATCAGCTCCTTTAGATTCTCGGGCTGTTCCAGCTGCGAGGAGCGTCTCAGAGAATATGTTGACGCTGACCGGGCGTCCAGGCCAGGAAGAGGCCACAGGGCCCCTTGGGCCAGTCCCTTCCCTGTCCGGGCCTCAGTTTCCCCGTCTCCCTAGTGACATGTAAGGATCCACCCAGCTTTAACGTGTTCCCGTCCTGGGACTTCCACAGTCCGCTCAGCGCCATCCGTGTGTGCTTGTTTGGGGCCAGCTGTCGTCACCGGCAAAGCCCACGGCCGCCCAGGAGGGGTGGGGGTCGGGGTGGGGGTCGGGGTGGGGCCTCCCCTCCGAGTCTGCCGCTGGGAAGCTCGTCGACGGCTTCCCCAGACACCCATCGCCCGGGAAGGAGCCACCCGTCAGAGAGACAGGCGGGGGGCGGTCCCGGCCTGCCCGGCCCGAGGCCTGGCTCCTCGCCGAATGTTCCGATCCAGGCAGCGCGTCGGAAGCGAGACGACGCCTCCGTTCAAATGCTCTAGTAGCTGCTGTTCTGGAAGCAGCCTGGGCGTAAATTTCAAATAAAATCAGCCCAGAGGCGGCGGCCGGGGCCACGCGCAGGAAGGATGGTCGCGGGAAGGATGGTCGCGGGAAGGATGGTCACGGGAAGGACGGTCGCAGCGTGCTGCTCACGGGGCGTGCTCCGCGGAATTTCTGCTGCGGGGCAAAGAGCGCAGGCCGGGCGTCGCTGTGCCGCGGAAACCTGTCCGCGCTCGTCACCCGCGGCTGGAATTCCGCGGAGGAAAATCGTCTTCACGCCTGCTCTGCGCCGTCAGGCGGGAGATACGAAAAGCACAGGTTTTCCCCTCCAGGAGCTGACGGTCTGGGGACAAAGGGTAAAAATGAGCAGGACCCGGGCAGAAAGGACAGGGACGGACAGAGGCAGAAGTTCGGCGTAGCGAGCGGCCGCTGTCGGCCGAGGCAACCAGGGAAGGCTTCCCGGAGCAGAAGCGACGACAGTTAGCTCCGGAACCCGACCCGGTTCCGCGGTGCCCCTGAGATGCCCCGGCTGTCCGAGCACGTCTGAAGTGGGGTTCCTGGGAAGCAGAGTCTGGGATGGAGCCGTGTGTGCGGGGCTTTGTGGGGGGCTCTCAGGAATGGCCCCTCTGAGGTTCGCGGAGGCCAGCGC